TCATTAGACTGCACGTGCACTGACATTTCACCCCGAGTTTGCCCCCCTCTTCCCAAGCCTCACATCATTAACTAGCGGTGTGCCGCTCAAAGGTAGTGTCCCCGCTCTCTGAGCGAGCGTCTCCGCGCCAGGAGAGCCAGTGTTTTGATGAGCTTGTCACTCCTTTACCCCAAACATGTCTCATTAATAGTTCAGTCCCAGTACCCCTCTTTTCCCCCATCCTTCCTTTTCCCCTCTTTCTCTGCACTAATTAGCTTTACTTCTTCCTTCTTCCGCGCTTCCCCAGTTGTCTCAAAGGGAGACGGATATAATTTTTTTTTTTTTTAACCCAAAGGCCAACTTAATCAGCTGAATTAATGACTTTATTACCCGTTAGACTTCTGGCCATGCGACACCCCCCCCCCCCCCACCCCACCCCCCCCCCCCCCCCCAACACCCAACTTTCCCGCCTCTTTCCACTTCTCCGCTTCTACAGAAACTTAAAAGGGAAAGAAGATAAACAATAGAAGCAACAGAAACAATCCTGGGAACAATGTTTACGTGAAAACATTCACTTCATCATGCTGTCTTTTCAAATTAATTTTCTGAGGTAAAAATCTCTCTCTTTGTATGAGTCAAATATAGGTAAGGAAGAGTAAGCACAAATGGATTATCACACAATTATCTTCAGCAGACGTGAAAAAAAGATAAAGAATTAAATGAAAAGGAAGTATTTCTGAGAAAAAAAATGAATTAATCTCACCTCAATGTCAGAGATCTCCTGTGAACAAGACCTACAAACCTCCACAAAAACCTAATCAAACTCTGCTTTGAAAATTCAGTGTTAATGACATTTTTGCATTTTTAAGCAGTATGAGAATAATTTTGACGCACAGAAAGATTCTCATACCTTCAGCTGTGCCGTTTGTTATTAAAATTCAAATTCAAACATGAATGCACACAAAGATGTGTCTGCTTTTGGCTGTTGGTGAAAAGGTACCAATCGCTTCATCAGGGATTCTGCTGCAAGTACCGTGGCTTACATTTCTGCATCTAGAATGTAATGGAACTGATTTACCTGCAGTAATGCAGAGTGGAAATGAAGATTAAGCGAATGTGCAGCAGTATTGATTCCTTTCCATATTTACTACATGCTAGTAATCCCGTCGTCATCTAACTTCTTATCCAGCTTAGGGTCACCCGAGGCTGGTCACAGGACACACGCGCTGTGAGAAATGTAAAGATTACAATTTCCATGTCTTTGTACTGGGAAAACATGCCAAGAGCAGGAATGTGATCCAGGGCATCTCCACCACCACACAGCCCTTAAATGTAAATAACAATGAATTTCTTTATAGAATTGAAGGACAGGATGAACAATAGGCAGGCTGCCAGTTTAGTGAAGAATGGTCAGATGTAGCCAAGATTGGTCAGATGTAGTCAAGGTTGCTCATCTGAGCAGAACAGCAGAGCATGATTGTTTCTTGTGGTGCATGTGGTACAACAGGTTAGGATGCTGTACGTATGATAAGATGGTTGCTGGTTCAAATTCCCTAGTCAGTGGTGTGATTTTTAGTGCTATCCAAGGTCCTTAATCCTCAAATATCCCAGGCACTGGCTGAGTCTGCTTTCTCTCAAAGATGTACATCGCTTTGGATAAAAATGACTGCTAAATAACAAAAAAGGACCTGTACTGGGGGAAGAAACAGATCCGAGACTGAGATGGAAAGGGTTTCCTGTCAACGACTTCCTTTTAGAAGTGATTTAGCCATTCATCACCTCCAATTTCTGCAAATGAGCATCGCCGTTTGAAGCAGGCCCCGGGATGCGTGACGAAGACCAACCCCTCAATCTTGGTGTGATTTATAGGCGTTGTACCAAAATATAGCAGGAGAGATGAAGAACTAGGCATCTGAAATGTTATATTTAAGCCCTGAATGTGACTCTGTAAGATTAGGCCTGACACAGGTATGCTAAATCTCCAGCTGTCATATCGGGCAATGACGAATACTTTACAGGTGCTTTATAAATTTTGCAGTACACACTGTGCTAAGTATTAGTACACAGCACACACGGTACTGCAAGCGTTTCAGAGACCTGTCAGGCATTTTAAAATGTGTGCACACTGCTCACTGGTGTGACTCTACTGCGGTTGTTTCAGGTGAAAGTTCAACGCTCATTTAAGGGCACTGATGAAGGTTGTTCAGGGTCATACGCCGGTAGCTGATGTTTCCATCATCATCTCACATTATGCGCAGCCGCCCGAACCTGCGGCGCAGTCGCTAATAAGGCTCCGGCAAGGTGAGAGCAAGGCGCGAGCTTCTGCCCGCGCACCTGTTCCCGCGCGCTGCCATCTCGCGGGGCCTATTAGACAATTACACCTGAGCGATTCTGCTTAATATGGGGCGAAAAATACCCGAGATTCCCCACGTCAGGCGCTTCCTTTCACCATCACTTCCTCCCTTCCCGCTCCGTAATAAGGTGCGGAGGCACGCGCGTCGGTAAGGGTGGAATTATTCATTAGCTTTGCCTAGCCCCCCCACCCCCTCCAATCCGCATATTCAACAACTTTGGGATAAACACGGAATTGCAAATTTGCTCGCAGCGAAATTGAATAAATTGGATGCCCTGGCATGCCTGTAAAATTCGGGCTGATGCCGACGTTTGCCTCAGTCACGCCGCTGCGTCGCGGCCGGGCGGCGAGACTGGGACGATTGGCGGGACGCCGTGGAGTTTTTAAATTAAGACGGCTCCTTAATTAAAAAATACTAATTACATGTTAATTATATGTATTAATTAAATGTTTGTATAACTTCAATAAATTAAGACAGTAATTTTAATGACAGGTTTTCTGTCAGAAACTACTGGTTACTTAAGTAAGCCTTCCAACTTTATGCAGAATAGGCTACCTCGTAATGGATGATGAATTGCTTTATACACACACACACACACACACATAGGAATTTTAAATCTTAGTCAAATTCCAAGTTTCTTCTTCAACGTTATATTCCGATCCACACATATAGGACTGACATCCGTACAGATACTGACCATGAAAAGAAGATGGATGGATGTATTGATTGATTGATTGATTGTTTTCTTTGAAGCAGACGAATGCGAGACTCAGATATTGTCAACATTCAGCACGAGTGACAGAATTTTAATACAATCATTCAAAAGCCGTGAGGAAGAATACATCTATAAAAACTTCCGTTCCCAAAAAGGTGGTTTACTAAAAGCACAAATCAAAATCAATTAATAAAAATAAATAAATACACTATTGGGCCTCATCATCTTAAATCATCAAGTTAAATACAGGCGGATACCTAACTAATCTGGTTAGATTTTATATTATTGTTTCCCTGACCTGAGTCCCACGCTTCTTGGGTTAAACTCCACCCTCTAATGTAGATGTATGGATCGCTAGATGGATGGATGGATGGATGGTTGGATAGATAGATAGATATGCACACTCAGTGACTTCAGTGAGATGTTGGGTTTGCCGTCCTCTGCCTTCGCCCGGACAGGTGCTGACTGGGCTCACTTTGCCGCGCCCTATTGGACTAAGCCATAAATCACCACTAAATCAAATTAATGAGATGATACAAAAAGTTCAAAATAATATATTCCTATATTTAACACAGAATTGGACTATAACTGACTGTCAAAATACAACATTTCCATTGTTGGAACAAATTTCAATATATTGTGGGGAATTTTTATCATTCACTATTGACCTTTTATATTCTTATATCCAAAGTATATTAAACTTGAACTCATTTCCTGACAATAATTGAGAATTGAAACGTGATAATTGTCTTTTGAGCAAATTAGCATTTTATTTCCCATTTTTAAAGCAAACACGGAGAATTCTCCATTGACAGTACTTAACCGCCGCCTTGTGGATAGGACATAAAATACACCCGCCTTTACAATTACCGTGCGGTCAATATGCAAAGGGCGGCAGTAAAAACGTAACTTGCAATCACGTTGTACAACTTTCAAATAGATCCGGGGTTGCTTCTGATTTTTCTTTCGGCAGAAACTTATGTTTATTAAACGGAACACCGGAGATGTGATATTCCGTGCTAATCCTGTGCTACAACTTCCGTGAATTCTGTCTAACGTTTATACAAGACCGCTGTGCTTCATTAATTACCACAATATTTAAATAATATTCTTAAAAGAATATTCCAGCCAATAACCAATCAATTAGCTAAACACTGAATATATGGTTATGGAACAGTTTTGTGTGACCAGGTGACGTTTTCAGGTCCTTAAAGTCGCTCTCTCTACTTCGTCATAAATCGCAGCTGAGTTGTACTTGAAAGGCAAGTTTAGGCGGCTTGCAGCCTGAAAAATAACTTAAGTGTTAGGTAGGACAGAAAAGATTATCCCACAGCTATTGATGAGATCAGGGTTGACCACCATTTAGCTGTCTGACTAGGAAATGACCAAAGTAGGACAAATGGTACAACAGCAGCTGTACCATCTACATAAGGGGTGGCCAATCTTATCCGCAAAGGGCCGCTGTGTACGCAGGTTTTAGGGCTAACCTTTAGGTCAGCTGTTCAAACCCAGGTGTGAGGACTCTTCAGTCAATCACTCCCCTAGTTAGTAATCTAAATGGGGAGTTGCAGTGATACCGGCATATGCTGTGGCCCTTTCTGGATGAGACTGGCCACCCCTGATCTATATCAAGATTGACTCCCACACAGACCACTGCCCCCTGGTGGCAGGGGGCTTGCTCTCCTTGCCATCTGACCGAAAAAGTCACAGATGATCCAGACATCAGTCTATGAGGAGGACAGGATACCCAACCAGGGAACTGTATGAGGTGGGGGGGGGACTCTCCACAGATTAAGGATTTGGCTGTCATGGTCTCTGAGCACTTTAAAAGACTATTCTACTGGGATAATGGAGGAGGGGGAACCCACACAATTGAATTCTTTGCACTTTTGGCTATTGTCCAATTTATACTAAATTATAAAGGCCTTACTGTAAAGCATCAATGCTGCACATTCAACATACAGTTTACTTTTTCTGGTAAATAAAACACATACAGTTTTACAAAAATAGAGCTTTATATACACAGTACAAAGGAAACAAATGGTTTACATTTAAAAAAGCAGGAATATGTACAATATGTACCAAAAACACAGGTAAGAACATGTTTGGTTCCAGATGCCAAACAGCATCCTTAATTGCCTCTTGGCGATTAATACAGTTCATCAGTCTCTTCCCAGGGGTGAGATGTCACAGTACCGAGCGGTACTTGCAGGCAAACATGATCCAGACGGCGCATGCAGACTCGGCGTAGGTATAGACCCGCACTCGGACCGCCAGCCTCACCTGGTCACCACGACAACACACTATCTCGTCACAGAACGGAGACCTGTTAGGTCACAAAAGGGCTGTTACCTGCCACTTTCCTAGAATACTGTTAAGTGTGAAATTGAGTGCCACAGCACTCCCCCCTCCCTACAGCCCCTGCCTACCGCATGCTGGTGGCGAACGCCCTGCGGGCGTTGCGGTGCGTGAAGTGGATGGGGAAGCCCTTGAAGGTGTGGCCGTCGGGTACTGCCCGCCGCACCGCGTCCTGGAACTCCTCGTTCCCACAGGACACCCCTGTGCTGCGCTCCAGCTCGTAGGCCGACAGCGCCGCGGACAGCAGGTAGGACAGCTGGTCGTCCCACGCTGTGGTCATACCCAGGTCCTGGAAACAGGAGAGCACCTGAGCAGAGGAGTTTGCCTGGTTCCGTTAGCCAGACTGCACTAGAGTCAGCGAGAAACGGCAGGTAGCAGTTAAGGCTATAGACTCTGAAGGTTGCTGGTTCAAGTCCCAAGTGGGGACTGTGGTTTTATCTTTTAAGAACTTAAATCAGAGCAACTGCAGTTAAATGTACAGCTTTAAGCGTACCAAAAATCCACTGCACAGATTGTCAGCTAAGAGACTCAGACCATCGACGAGCAGATGGTACCTTCCTGTGCTCAGACACCAGCAAGCGCATCTCCAGCTCCAAGTGGTTGCTGGCAGCAGCCGGATCCCACGCAGGGCCGCAGAGCGGGGGCAAGGGGGGCACCGAGGAGCCGGATCCCGGGGCGCACACGGAGAGCAGGGCGTCCTCGCTCATGGACTTCCACAGTGACGGCTCCCGCAGGTCAAAGATGCACAGCTCCACGGTGTCCGAGGGTTGGCAGTTGGCCAGGAAGGACTTGTGGTTGAACACGCAGCCTACCGTTCTGTACGGGTACGAGGGGCGGGGCTGAGGTGCGAGAGGAGGGTCGTCTGGGTTGATGGGCTGGTGCAGGTATCTGCCAATGACACAAGAAACTGGTGCCTCTGAAATTCGATACTTGTTTCATGCACTATTTCCATTGCACACAATCAGTCATTTTAAGGGTAAACTGCACGTATATAGTTTCCTGGTACTTAATTCCGGGCATAGATACCTGTGCCCAGTGAGACTCTCCCAGAAGGTGACGGAACCTTCGGTGCCACAGGTCATCACCCAGGCGTGGGGCACGGCCTTGGCTTTGGTGCCCACGCACACGTAAGCATCCAGGCCGAAGCCGAGCAGCAGGCTGCACAGGAGGGTGGCATGGTCCTCGCAGTCGCCCTGGAAACGCAGACGGACGTCATTCCTCCGTGCCGAGCACCGACCACACACACACACACCGGCCTGGAAAGAAGATCTTTGCAGTTTCCTGAGTAAAAGGACTTTTAACTCAAACAGTCACCCCTCATATTTTTCCTGGGTGTTTTCAGCTCACTATGCAGGCATCAGACAGATTCACACCCCCAGCAAACCTCACCTATGCTGCCCCCTGTACAGCAGATTCATGAGATTCAAAGGGAACGGCAACACAGACTGGGATGGGAGGGGCCCTCTTTTAAAAGTAAACACAGCAGAACAACCCATAAACAGGCAGCAGCATACAGGTCACTCAGTTTCTTCAGTGAAACATAAATAATGCAAAAGACGCATCTTTAGTTGTCAGTGGCTGACAGTCTTTGAATAAGCAGGGTAAGGCTTGGCAATCAAGAAAATAAGTCTCATTTCTGGGTGGAATTCCGATCCCCAATGCTTACCAAAGGAACTAGGGCTTAACTCACTCTATTACCTGGTAAGTCAGAAGTCAAATGCTTGAAAAAGTAACTAGATCACGGGGAATCCACAAGCGTGCGGGGCGAACAAACATTTCTCAGGGCAGTGTTCCAGTCAGAGCCTATCCCCAAGCCCCTTCTCCAGAAGCTGACCCGCGTTGCACTGGGCCAAGGCCGGTGCGGTCAGGATGACGGATGGCTCGCAGAACCATTAATATGGACCACACAGTCCAAAGAGGTCCCGGGCTAGCCTTAGAATTAATTTAGCGGCGACAGAACCAATAAATCACAGCGTGGCAATCTACACTCCAACCCACAGGAGTCTAAGAGTATGATTTTAGAGATGAAAGCACAGGAGTGCCCACAGGCGCAGTAGGCAGAAGATTCCAGAAAAAAAACTACTAGCAGCACTGGGATTTTTTTAACCATACATCATCCAGACAAAACTGGTCTGGTTGTTTCACATCAGCTGTCAGAAAACACACTGGATGCTTTGCTCTCTGTCCACTGAATTCCCTAGAAAAATGGGTAGCAGCTTTAAAATGTTTTTTTTTCCCCCCAAAAATAAATCATGGATAAAGTTCTGATCGTATAGAAACGTAATTATATCATCAGAAATGCAAACATATCAGCATATTAACATTTTCATACAAAACATAATATAAAACCTATGCCCATATACTTCCATGTAGAGGTGGGTGATATGGCACAAACACATTTTGCACGTTATATGTAACGTTAAAAACACTGGCAGTGTTGCCATGTGTCGAATGAACGGTATCTTTGCAAAGTTTGCAAATAACTGTAGATTGCTGCATGCAAGATTTCTCAAATTGAAGCCATTGCTACACAATCAACGCAGAAGCTTTTCTGGAACCAATTCTTCCTGATATGTCATGCTGCACACACTGCGTACTTGCCCGTGTACTTGACCGCGTAGTTGCCCCTTCTATAGACGTGTGAGGCAAGCGCAATATTTCAGTTTCTCTCAAACTGGCGCTCGGGGACCCCTGCGTTTCCTACGCGACTGGGCCCCTGAGGACTGAAACACTACAATGTTTTTAGCAGTCTGGTTGTATATTGTTTGTTTTTTTTTTTTATCAAGTTAGCTAACTGGTTAGAGAAGATCAATTAAGTTGAGATCCACTGAGACAGATAACTGGCAAAAAGGTGAGACCGTGCTGAGATTATGCAGGCTGAAATTGATTTGTTTCACGTCAGTCTGTTTTTTGTGTGTTTTGTTGCTATAATGAAAATATTATGTAGACCTGTATTGTGATTCTTGCGGTAAATGCTTATAGTGGATACAATTGCAACCGGTTACGAAAAATTATCACCATTATGTCCAACAATATATGTGTGTGTATGTAAGTATATCTACATATATCCCAGAATACTGTTAAGTGTGAAATTGACCAGCATTACCTTGTTCCTGCAGAGGAAGGCCAGTAGGCTGCACCATTGCTCATGGCGGCCCCCACCCCCCACCACGGGGGCCCTCTCCAGCGGCAGCAGGCTGACGAAGCGGGCCGCTTGTCGGGGGCTCTCCAGGATGCGGCCCGCCCGTAGGACACGCACGTAGGAGCACACGGGCCGGTTCACACCATTTTCGTCCTGTGAGGTAGTACATGGGACAAGTGGGGGGGGGGGGGGAGATAGCTGTCACACAGCCAGGGGGCAGCAGAGCCTCACACATGGGGATCTGTTGGGAGATGGGGTTCTCCTAACCTGGGCAAAGATCTTAACCAGTTTGGTCTGGTGTGACGGCCGGATCTCCAAGAACTCCCTCCACCACTGCTTGGCGTAGACTAAAAACAAGCGCTCCCTCTCTGCTCTTCTCTGCCGCTCCATGGATTGCTGCAAATGCCAGTTAGGGTCACTATGGGAAAGTGGGGACTCTGCACTTTTCATGCAAACACACTGGGTCGGTTAGCCATGGGCTGCATAGTCACAGATACAACACAAGGACAGAGGAGCATTGAAACAGGCAAGGAAAATAAAAATGTAAATTCACAATCAGCCAGCAGGTGGCATCGTACAAAAACAATTTGTGCTCCAATAGCCATTTGTGGCCATCTGCTGTACCTTTCAATAAAGAGCTAAACCCAAAGTTAATGGCTTGCTGTGCCAAGGGGTAAAGGTTCAGTCACTACAAACAGAAAAATTTGCTAAGAAATTAATGACCTTTTCCACTGTCACTAAGAAGTGAGCTGTACTCGATTTCTGGCCATCGTAAACTATAAGAGCCGCACCTCAGCCATACCCGATTTCCAGCCATCGTAAATTATATGAGCCGTACCCCAGCCGTATCCGAGGCGTACCCCAGCCGTATCCGAGCCATACCCCAGCCGTATCCGAGCCGTACCCGCACTGACACGGCCCTGCTTATTAACAGTGCCAAAAGCATGGTTAAACTAAGCTGGTTGCATCACCACTAGGGGAGATTAATCGACGTAGCCGATGACATCAACGCTGAAAAGACATTTACATCAGTGTTTTAAATCGATGCATCTTACTTTTAAAATTATTTTGATGAAATTACCTTTATGATTTCTAAAATACTTCAGTTCATAATAACAAATGTTTTTTTAATCTTTTGTCCTTGTATTTACAAAAAAAAAGTGTCCGACTTTAATCTGCAAAAGTACTGCCATACCACCATCTTTCTACATAGTTTAACCACAATATCTCCTCTTTGAAAAGATGCTGGCTACTGAGGGACATGATTTACCATGTGGCATGCTCCACTAACCGAATTTAATAAGCATACACGGAATTTAAACAGATTACTAACTTTTGGGCATCACAATATGCATCTCATTAATATTTTTAGGCCTACTATTAATCTGCTTATCATATTGTGGGCAACAATGTGCGTAGCTAGCATCCTTTATATAAAGCGCTGCAATGACACAGTTCGTTGTTGTCAAAGTAAAATTAAATTACTGTCAATTTGATTTTCTGGAGGTAAATGAATCGTTTAAATTAATGTACTAATGGGTAAAATAATTGATCGATTATTCCACCGAAAAATAGTTATTACTGGCAGCCCTAATCCCCACTATCTGACTGGTCAAAACGCATGGAGATACCGGTGATCTGTGTCGACATGCATGGATTATCTGACGGGAAAAAGAACATATTCTATATATTATTCATTATTACTAGTATCACACATCACAATGTATTGATACATTCCTGATAAAGGTTGGACATTTTCAAGTTCCAAGTTTACTTAAAGTACTAGGGAACGGCTGAACGGAATGGATTCGTAATCCAGCTTTACGCAAGCTAACGCCAATTACGCTAGTGTTTGATGCTTACATAACCTGGCGATTCTCACAGACATGCTAGCGGAAATTAGCACATAGTAATCATGATGTACACCGTGTGAACAGTAAATAGGTGGCTCATAGGTTTTACGTCACTGTCGTTCTCCAAGCCAGGCAGCACCTTTACCGAGTCGACCCTCATGCAGTGGAAAAACGACGCGAACTGCAGCCGTGCTGTAAGTAATGTCTTTTCGTGATACGGCTCGGTTCCTGAATGCCAGTGGAAAAGCACCATGAATAAAACCTAGAGCACACATTCTGGTCTGTGTTTGCTGGCAGAGCACGGCTACACGGAGCGACGCACCCCACCTGTGTGCTGACAACATCCGGGCTTAAGGTGTCACTGAGGGGGGGGTACAGCTCCAGTTTCACATTCAGGACACCGGCTGGAACTTTACACTCGCTGCCTGTTCATCCAATGAGGGGATGAGATGGGGGGGCAAGAAAAGAGAGAGAGACTAAATATCCAGAGACATGGTGGAGTTCTACGCTGGTTCACATCAAACAAAAATTTCATTGGCCAGTAAATCTGCGGGGGGGGGGGGGGGGGGTGGTGGGGGACGGATCGATCGCTTTCTTAAGTTTAACGGTCATTGTTTTGTGAAGAGAATGCATGAACATGAGGGCTGCAAAAACTGAATATTTATAGTTTATTTTTGGAAAGCAACCAACACCCCCTCCCAAAAAAAAACCCCAGCATTTCTGTGGTCTGGTGGAATACTGGGACCGGGGGTTGGGAATCCCTGGTGTGGGGGTCACACACAACCATGCACCCTAACACTGCTCTACTTACAGCAGCGCAACCAGAAAGGAGGTTTCATTCATGCTACAGGACTGCTCACACAAATTACTGGGAAACATTTCTTACACGCATACAGGATAAATCTCTCTCTTACCATGCACACTCATGACACACACAGCCTGTTCACACCATCATTGGTCACTTTTGCACATATGGGCAACAGGCACCCAGCATGTAAATTCCTCATTAAAGGTCACACACTTCCCTACCCACTCCCAGAAGCTCCACGGCCAGACTGGTTTTCCCATTCGGAGAGCTGAGGATGGAACGCCAGTCTAGGAAGTGGGAGGAGACGAGTGCAGTCTCCCCAGCCGGGTCGGTCTTGATCAGCACCATGTGCACCGGGTCGCAGATAGACAGCATGGCGGTTGCGTCGGCCATTTTGCTGCCCTCCCCTGGATAAGGATTGTGCAACAAATACAATTAATCTAACACAAAAAATATGCAGATATTCCAGGTTTCTCTCCCCACAAAAACACAATGCTGATTGTGTGCATTTAACACAATGTCAAACATATTCATATTCTCCCCAGTTTGAGCTCCTCAATATTTAATACAATATTCCAATGATCACATCGTTTTGATTAACTACGGCTTCATGTGCAGGTCTGAACTGAGATGCTGAAGAACCACAGAGCCTGAGAAATGTTTACAGCAAGGGGTGGGGGTTGGGTTGAGGGGCGGGGCGGTGACGAGAGACACACACCGGCGGTCTCCCTATGCACCTCCAGCAGGAAACCTTCTGTCAGGTCTGGCTCGCAGGCGCAGGGCACGGGCTTGGAGCGGAAGCGCTGACTCCTGAAGTGCAGGTACAGGGTGAAGGTGGAGCACACCTGCCCGGGTAAGGCAGCCGGCTCCTGCAGGTGCTCCAGAAAAGCCTTCCCCCCGAGCACCTGCAGGTACAGGTATCTTCTCGACGGGTCAATGTTGGCTGGAGAAACAGTACAAAGAAAACCAATGAAGCAGAAGATTACTGAATGCAATTGTGCCTTTGTATCCAAATGGATAACAAACTGTGCCTTGAGATATTTATATCTGTATGTACTATTGTAGTTAGTATATAGTACGAATATTAATGTGACAGATGAAGCAGTAATTTCTGTTTTATTCTTAGGGACAGAAACATTTCACTGTCTTTTACCCACAATTCAGCAGCAGACTACAGCACACTAACACACAGATGATGTGAAACAAACAAACAAAAAAAACACTGACTTTTCCTCAGCTGTGTCCCCTCAGTATCGACGTAGTGAGTGGCTGGCTTGGGAGACAATTCTGGGCTGACCTCCTGGCAAGGATGAGGAAGATCCACAAATAAGTCACTTTCTGCCAAGTGCTCTGTACATTCCATCATGTTACTCTGATGGTCTCGAATATCACTCCGGACAACGGTGTCAAGATGTCCTTCTACCTTGTCCAAAAATTTGATCCACAATGTCTACCTGAACTATGACTAATCTGATAGCTATAAAATTACTGTGATGCTGAAAATATTAATGTCCTATGTTATATAAAGTTAGGATTTTGATTAAATTTAGTTGCCTGCCTTGCAGTAAAGGGGTCATTAGCAGTTTCTGTACAAGTTTCACTTGTTAATATCTGGCACCTTCGAAAACTGCAGCTGCTTCATCAGGTCGTCGACGATGCCCCGGCGCTGCAGGGCTCGTATGAAGTCCGCCTCGGATAGTGCGCGGTGCTCCGGCCCCAGCTCCTCTCTCACCGTCTCTGCCAGCACGTCTCTTATCTTACCGTGAATGTCCATCTGCGTAAAACGAACAATGTATCAACAAGACCGCCAACGATGTCCTGACATGAATGCTGGAATATCTCCGGCTTTCCAGCCTTGAACATCAAAGAATGTCCGTTAGCTAACAGCTGGTGACAAGCTGCCAAGCTCTGACTGCCACCGAAACTGTGTCGAGTAAGTAAATCCCCACCTTAGTTAAATGGTTGTGAATGATTTGCTTGAGCTCGGAAGCTTTCTCCGGCGGCAGCGACATGTCAGCACCGGATTTAAACCTAACACCGTTTCAGTCTCCGTTGATCTCCTTGGTTGACTAACCATAAGACCAAGTTTCTGAGCGTCCGATCTCAGTGTTAAAGTTAAGTCACGTGTCAAATCAAAAACACCTTCTGAGATCTATATCCACTACTGTTTTCCATATTTTCGGAGCGTAACTACACAAATACACTCCTCCCTCTACAACTGTCAGTTTAAACTGTGGCGGAAAAGCCAGCGGGAATATCCTCTCAATCAGGCCTGGCTTATTTTTAAACAATAGTGTTATTAATTATAAAGAGACAGATACCAATGTTTTACATGTGTCATTTATATTGTACCTAATTGTCTCGGATATGTCGCTAGATACAGTTCCCCATAAATTTAAATTGCACGTCCGCTTTTGTATCAGGCACATACATAGACAACCGCCGCGACATTCGGCCTAAAAAAATAGGAAGGACCCTACTTATGTGCGATCACGTGATAGTACAAGTTATCTTTTTCTTTGGCGTCACTTTGGTATGGCGGTCGTGAGTGTGTGGCTTGTCCTTTAAACCTGGTCATATCTAGTAACAATAATAAATATTTCGGTAAATTATTGTCATCGTACATTATCAATTACTATAATACATTAATTGTAGTGCTCGGCTTTTATTGGGACACATTTTCCTTCCCAAATGATAGATTGCACCAGGAAAAAGTAAAACCAATAATTCTTCAGCAGTCAGTTTTGAGGCACACTCTAGTCATATTCAGAAGTGTGACGAAGCATTTTCCCAGAGCCGTGACATATAATGGCACTTGTTTCAACTCTTTTCCAAATTATTAAGTGTCCCTACCTGCCATGCAATGGTATAAACCAAGTCTGTTCAACTTAAGTGGCAAGTGGGCCAAGTAAGACAACCACTGGGCCACACCAAAGACTTTGTGGCAGCATAACTTTATATTGCAGTATAACATTAAAACATCTATGCATCCGCATGTATTGCATCATAATTTGGCTATTTATATTATAAATATTTACGTTGTATTCTTTTCTTAACAATGATTTTGTTGCACAATAAGCGCGTCGGTTTATTGCTTACTGCAGTTGGCAAAATTAATTAGTATTTGTCAGTTCATTCACTCCCGGACTGGCGATTTTCAGAATCAATTTAGCGTCTTTCAGGCTGTGAGTTTGACATTGTGAACCCTTTTAGGTCAAAAGAAGCCAGATTACCGGATGAGTTGCTGCAGTCCGCAGAATTGTGACGGTACGGGTCAGTTAAATTTATTATTATATAATGTACCTTATTTTATTTATTATATTACATAAGTGTTTGACTACTGGCAGCTTAGAACAGGCCTGGTATAAACGAATAGTGAATAAAAGACAATTAATGGAGGGCGGAAACACAAAAGAGTCGTTTAAGGTTTGTTTTGCGCTGTTAAAAAGATTTGCTTTTTATAGTGCACTCCGCTTTCAACACCCCTCACTTTCATAAACCATGACATATCAATTTAAAGTCAGAATTCATATGACTGTGCAGTTAGGTGCTTATCTGGAACGAAAACCGTCATACCAGGGGTGACGATGACTGTGACTGCAAACCGATCGTACAACTCATAACAAAAGCAGCCTACACATACAAGTATACATCCCCGAAAAATAAAGGGATAATTGATGATTGTTCATGTTTGGTTAAACATTTTATGACCAAATCTTTGCATATAAATTTTATTTTAGAATTCTTGCATCCCTCAAAAAGTTCTGATGAATCAACACGCATTTATCTATTGTCCATTGCTCCACCTAGTGGAAGCAGTATGTAAGTGCGAATGTTGCGGCCAGTCAATTCCCCGAATTTTAAGTAGCGTCAGTTAAGCAAGTTTTCTTTCCCCCTTGGATCGCAGTGGACATCACCTCCCCTTAAATGTTTGCCGCAAAAATCTATTGTTGCAAAAATCAGTTGACAAACCTTTAATTCATCTGCTGCTGTACATTTGCCGAAGGTGCTTCAGGAAATAAATTTAGCCTAGCTCTATGGGTGAAATGGAGAACTTTAAATTGACTTGCATAACTGGAAAAGTAATAGAAGCTATAATCCAAGTGAAAATGGTAGATTACCTGGATTCAAATAACATTCTGAGGGATAGCCAACATGGATTTAGGAGAGGTAAATCCTGTTTAACTATTGTACTTGAGTTTTTTGAGGAGGCTACAAGAAAAATTGATCACAAAAAGGCCTAAGATGCAATCTGCTTAGATTTCCAGAAGGCCTTTGATGTTGTCCCTACCCCACAAACGGCTCTTACTTAAGATCAAAGCTGCAGGGATTTTAGGAACTGTAGCAGCTTGGATCAAAAACTGCAAGTAGTTATTAGAGGCACAGTATCACAATGGGCCTGCGTTCATAGCGGGGTACCACAGGGTTCAGTTTTAGGACCACTATTGTTCCTAATTTACATCAATGATATTAACACCAATACATACAGTAAACTGGTTAAATTTGCAGACGACAAGGTGGGTGGTATAGCAGATACTGATCTAGCAGCACAGAAGCTACAACGGGATCTTGATTTAATTAGTGACTGGGCTGATACCTGGCAGATGAAATTTACTGTAGATAAATGTAAGGAAATCGATGCAGGGAGCAGAAATATAAAGTACAGATATTTTATGTGTTACACTGAAATAAAAGTAGCTGATTATGAGAAATACCTCGGTGTGTATGTTCATGCTTCCATGTTCCACTCTCGCCAGTGTGGGGAAGCAATAGAAAAGGCTAATAGGATGTTGGGCTACATCTCTAGGTGTGTGGGGTTTAAGTCAAGGGAGGTGATGCTACGATTATAAAATTCCTTGGTAAGACCCCACCTAGAATATTGTGTGCAGGTTTGGTCACCATACCTTAAGAAGGACATTGCTGCCTTGGAAAGGGTGCAACGGAGGGCTATGAGAATGATTCCTGGTCTTAGAGGAATGTCTTATGAGGAGAGGTTAGCTGAGCTCAATCTGTTTAGCCTCGAGCAAAGGAGACTAAGGGGAGACATGATTCAGGTCTATAAGATTCTAACAGGTCTGGATGCTGTTCAGACAAATGGCTACTTCAATGTTAGTTTAAATACTAGACCTCATGGCCATAGGTGGAAATTAGCGGGAGAACATTTTTAAAATGAATTTGAGAAAGCACTTCTTTACACAGCATGTAGTTAGAGAATAAAATAGCCTTCCTGTTAGCAAGGGTGTAAATCTGGCTGGAACTTTGGGGGGGTTGAGGTCTTCACCCATTACAGGGGAAACATGATTATTGGGGAGGTTCTATTAGCTGGTTTTGATTTATTGTGGGGGCTACAACTCCCCCATCCCCCCCGTAATTTACACCGATGCCTGTTAGTGTAGTCACTGTAGCGCAAGCTAAAACCCTGGGTTCCTTTAAGTCAGAGCTAGATAAGATTTTAACAATTCTGAGCTATTAGTTAAGTTCTCCCCAGACGAGCTTGATGGGCTGAATGGCCTCCTCTAGTTTGTAAATTTCTTATGTTCTTATGACATAGTTTTGTCTTTTAATTTTTAAAATGTAACTGTCAAGATTTCTGCCATTTACACTGTGATCTACTACTGGCATAAACCATTAATTTGAATGTGAGCATGCTGTAATTTCATGAGGTACTTGACGAATAGTATTGCTGCATCTCCAAAATGAATGTTACACCCTCCAAATACAGCGACGAATGGCTGTTAAGTATACAGACATAGCTAACGGAGTCTCTTGGGCTCAAAATCAGGGGCTGGAAATTACTTGTTGGTGATCAGAAAATGAAGGAATATGCCTCTTTAAATATTTGCATTATTATTGCTGTAATAAAATCAGATGTAGGCGTTCCACGATGTGAATTACGGAGCATATGGCTTCTGAGACACTGAAGGTCTGCCCTTTCTGCCTAATTCCTTTAGCCATCTCATCGGATTGATGGAATTACCTCATGGCCTTTTCTGGAAATATCAGCCCCGGTTCCTGGAATGTGACAGAAAACAGGTGCATCTAATTATATCTGCTAATTGAGGTGAAAACACACAAGGAAACGGTGACTCATAGGGCCGAGTGGGCAGCCGGGGGTGCGTGTCCTCGGCTAGCTATGAACAGAAGTGAGCATACTGCCATCTAACCTTTTTTTATTGCGTTCAAATCTGATTGTGCTGCAGCCTCTGGCCCTTCCACTCTTACCATCAGCAGTGTCTAAGCAATCATAAGCATCACTGCTTCACATCACTCAGATTACTGGGTTGCAATACTTACTGGCCTTTGTTTGTTGAGAAAAGGTGATTGTTCCTAATTTTCGTGTGTGATTAAAATCATGCAAAATCAGCAATCTACAACTAAAATCTAGCATGATTTAATAAGATTACACCGAAGCACTGTTTTGTGCATCAATCTTAAATATGGAATCTAACCACAGGTCAAATATGTGTTGAATGTTGTCTTTCGTGGTTGTGATGTTATGTTAAATGAATATATTGTTGTGTCTCTGTCTTAATTTGTGTTTTATTTTTAATGTTGCAAGTAGAGCTGCTGTGATGCAAGAAACATTTCGGACTTGTCTGACAAGTAATATTATCATGTCATTTTGCCCACGTTTTGGTTTTAGGTGTTATGGTGGCTCAGCAGATAATCTCACAGTTGCTTCTCTGAGTCCTGTTCCTGCTCTGTATATATGGAGTCTTATCGCATGCAGGAACGCAAGGGGGGGGGGGACACCGGGGCCGTCTGCCTCTTTTGCCTGAAAGTTACTCCCTTTTAACGTCCTGAGTGCCCCTTTTCAATCACTGACTTAGCAAAGTGCAAATTCTGTTTTGACTTGTCAAGGGGGAGAACCTGCCCTTTGCAAAGGTTTGGCATGACCCTGCTTGCTTGGGTCTCCTCCCACAGGCCAAAAGTAGGCATTTTGCTAGAGAGCTAGACTGTCACTGCTGGGGTTTGGTAGCTGACTCACCAGCTGACAGAAAAACAAAAAAAAATCTGACATTTCTTTTCCCCTGAAGCTGGTTGCAGAAGTGGGGCCTGTTTGTAGGAGCAGAAAGTACTGCTCTGATTATCTGACTTGTGAATTAATAGAATATATCTGTGTGTGTGTGTGACATTAATCAGCAAAACATCACATATCATTAAACAAATACAGTTGTTTTCATTTCACTTTACATGTGACATGTCTCATTTCTTTGTGTTTCAACTCACAGGCTATTTTTGGTTGTGGACATTTGAGTTTTAATAGCTCACCTGTACAATTAAAGATGAAAACTCTACATTAGGAAAAGCATGAAAAGCAGACCCCATTCTAAGATTCACACCTGGGTCTGCATACATACATAGAAAATTCCTCATTTTTATTTTTAAATATTACACATTTTCCATACAGAACAAAAACAAAATGTCGAACTTTAAAATGTATGGTTGTTTTGTTCTGGAAAGCAGGAACAAACAAGAATAATAATCCAAATGTAATGATGCTTTCTGTATATGTGTTTAATCCAAACGGTGCTGATATTGTAAACAGTGAAAGAGAGCTTGGGAGGTGGGGGGGGCGCTGGGCAGATGTGATCCCTGCCCTCCACCCCCACTGCCCCTCAGTATGGACACACCCAGGGGTCGCTCCTCCTCGGCCTGCCACACAACACAATGAAAAAGAGAGGGAACACACACACACACACACACACACACACGAAAGACAAAATGAGGTTCAGCACACACCCCTCTGACCTAAAAGATGTGAGACTGTGCACAGGACTCATTGACGCGTCTTGATCCACAGGGGCCCAACATCAGCTGGAAGACATCCCTGAAAGCCCCCACAGGGGGCAGCATTACAGTCCTACTCCACTATAACATCAAAGCTACTCAGTAACTCAAGCAGTCCAAAGCCAAAGTAAAGTAGTAGTTACTTTTAGAATCACTTTAACTCCCAGGTGTCTGTTATTATTGGATTATTATGCATGTCAGATTTAGACACACCATTCAGGCATTCTGCCTTATTGCTGCCTTGGGTAGGATCCAGGGCTCTTGCTCAGGATAATGGCTTGGAAGATGGATGGATGACTATACACAGATAAGGCTGTTTTTCAGGCTTCAAAGAGTAATAATAATAATAATAATAATAATAATAATAATAATAATAAATAATAAAAACATGTTATAACAACAGATGTTTATGAAGACAGGTAGGCCAGTACCAGACAGGCTCTTCTTAAGGGAGACTTGGGGATTTTTTCCTCACAATCTTAGTTTTAGTCACAGCTTAAAACATGACTAATAGGGCAAAATAAAAACGCTGAAATCCATCGGGGCGACCCAAAGGGTTCGGTCCTGTGAGCAAATCCCATTCTAAAATATAGAAAACCATGACAAACTATCAAATTCATGCCTCAGACACATATTGCAAATGAAAACGGCACAGAAGCGGAAACGTGTGTGAAGGAACAAGCGAAGCCAGGCTGTTAATTCTGACATGTTTATTAAATACGAAACGAGGCTTACAAAACTGTAAATGGGAGTAGGGGGGTGGGGTACAAGCCGATTTAACAACGGGGGGCCGATCATCCAGGCTGCAGCACGCGCACACGCAGGAAGCGTGGCGTTCATCCCCCTTGGCGGAGGACATCCAGGCCCAGGGCAGCGGCCAAGGAGCCAGGCGACCAAACACACATGCACACACTGCCACGTGTTATTCTTTAATGGCTTTGGCAAGAGCAACCGCTGCTGCACGCTGACAGTCCGCATGGATGCGCCAACGGGGCCTGCGGCATGCAGCCCGACCTGGAACACCATGTAATTACAGTACGCAAAATACTTTGGTCGTGTATCTCTTCAGCAAAGGGTGGAAAAGGGTTCAGGTTCAGTATCTGTCAGGCTGTCAGTATGACAAGTCAGGACCGTTACATACAGTACAAGTTTCTTAAAGTGCCCGGTCTACGTCACAGAAGGGGACAGAGACTCAGCTTCACAACAGTCCCAGTCATTAGGCAAGCAGGGTCAGCAGGAACCATTAGCACGGCCTCAAAGTCTGGTCCCCAAACATATCGAGTAGTAATCACACTTCCTGATGGGGGGGAATCGGATTGCTTCACTCAGGCTCAACTATGTGACAGCAGCTGCCTTGGCTTCACCTGACAGAGAAGAGGGGGCAGGGCCAACACCAACTCTTTGTTCAGGTCACAAATGTCAGAAGAGCGGGACCAACATCTCAAGCATAAAGGTTCTACACACTGATGCCACACCACTGCTGTGCTTTCATCTTGAAGACCCAGCACTGTAGGACCATTTACACAAAACCTGCTTGAAAAAGTTCTGACGTCTACATCCATGCTGTCAGAGCGGAGAACTGTGACTGAACAGTGACTGAATATGGGAGCCAGGAGAATGAACACAGAATGGAAATCACAAGCTGGACTTATTGGGATTCTTTAAAGTGGGAAGCAGTCCTCACAATGATTCTGAGAGCGGGTTGAAGAGGAGATTTTAGGAAAAGTACAAAAACGTCCCATGACGCTTCACTTCACTCTCTAAGTAGAGCCCCGGCAGGACGCCCACGTGCTCCGAGCAAACCATAGAAACCACCTCCGTTCAAGTCATGACAAGAAGCGCCCAGCCATGCCAAACAAACTGCAGAGCAGGACTGCAGAGCAGGACTGCAGAGCAGGACTGCAGCCCGTCTGATGTCACCTATCGCACCCCTGCCACATAAGGCTCAAGAAGCCGGTTTTGAAATCCCACAAACACCACCCGTGGGAAAGCGTGAGGTTTCAAAACATGACAGTGATGCTGAAGAAAAATGCCATTCTGCCAAAAACAAAATAGAAGATATAAAAAATGTGTATGTGCAGTTTGACAGTTTCCGAATCTTATTTAGAAAAAAAATGGTGGTCCATTTCGAGATCTGGGGCTCTTATGGGCTTTAAACAGCACGTAACAGCGATGAAGTGAGCCGATTGGTCAAGCTGGTCAGCTGATCTAAGGACAGGAAGAACAGCGCCTCCTGGTGCTCTGCTACACATTCACAACTCCAGTTTTACCTCTCCAAGTCTGTGTGCCAGACTGCCAACAATCTCTCAAATACAGCAGACTGCTGAATCAGTACATTTTTATGCTGCCCTTAAATCAAACTCCAGCCCCCTCCTGTAACTGATCTGACCAACGAAAGCCTTTTTGCCCATAATAAAGTGAGAGCTAACAGGCTTCAACATGAAAAAACACTGATGCGCACCAAATAGAGAATGACCAGACAATAAACATACCTACGACCTTGGCATTTCCTGCTTAAAAATGAAAAGTTTGTGAATTGCTTTAAAGGCACGTGTTTATAAAGGGTTTCCTGATCAGCCCATTAAAAAAGGTATTATACTCATAAATACCTGCAATAAAACGAAAAAGTTAAAAGCCAGAAATCACCTTATTAACTACAGACTAAATGTGGACAAAGAAATCGTCTCTGGGTGATTCCTTCCCCTTGATTCCCAATGGGCCGCTCTAACCAAACCTGGAATCTTAGTAACAGTGCTGTCTAGTTAATCCCATAATAATGACAGTGATGATAACACAGCTAGTCACTGATCGAGACTCAAGTTGCCATATGTTCTGAAAGCTGCACTGGGGAGGGATTATCCCACACCGCCAATCACTGCCTCCTTAGCCCAGTCACTATCCTTTCATGGATCCCAATTCTTTTATTTGTCTCCATCTGTATATACATTTTGTAAACAGAGCATGTAACACCATATGCAAATATTATTTACAAACAAATAAATACCCCAAGTTTGTGCTGGTAACTGTGGTGAAAAAAGCTACCAGTGGAGTCAACAAACAAAACTGGTTAACAACCAGACCAAAAAGTTTCATCTGTAAAAAATGTCACGTTTGAAAGCACTCACATCACTCCCAGTATTTGACACCTCTGAGAAAAGCAAGGAAATGTTCCGGAACATCATGTGGGAGAAACCTGTGGATGAGGTCCTTATGAGGTCCTCATCCAATGAATTTAACATTTAAGTCTTCCGCACATGTTTTTATTTGGTTTCCCAAAAAGATGAATGATAAATTAACCTCATCTGGCCATAAGAATGTTTACCCCCCCCCCCCGAACGGACGTCACTAAGGCGACCGGCCAAATTCTGTCATGACAGACCAGTGATGTGCCAGAAGAACACGCCCGTCAACCCGTAACTTATGCTTCCAGTAAAGTGAACTTGGACGCGGGCATGAAGTCCACCTGTGGTATGCCAACATATCTTTGCTCAGACGTCTCCAAATGAAACGCTACATTCACCGGTCCTGGTCACATTCAGATGTTTTGTGTAAAATGCTCCACATGGGGTTTCTTACCAGCACCTGAATTTGTTCGTCTAATTGCGAGCTGCACTGCTGTCATTTTGAAACAATAAACAGAGGCAGAGGAATTTAGAAAAGGAAAAAAAAAAAAAAAACTTTCTCCATTTTAGCTGCTGAGAGTGGAATTAACTCTTACAATGAAGTACAATTCGAAGATCTTCCTCAGAAGCATAAGAGAAATCGCACAGCTACGAAAAGACAAAGAGAAAGGAGGCTTCACTCCGGCGCTAAGCAGAGCCTCGGGGCGCCGCGTCCTACAGCATACGAGCACATCTGCTCCTATACAAGGTCCTGAGGAGCCCATTCCACGGTCTTCTGTGTTTGATGGGCGTAGATCATGTGACCTTGTATGCCAGCGCCTGAAAGCTCTTCCCTCGTCACTGTGTGTGTGTGTGTGTGTGTGTGTGTGTGTAAGGAGGGGTTACAATAAAATTAACAATAAAAAAGCCCCGTCCCTCTAACAAGAGGGAGCAGGATGCACCCCCCTGGGGCGCCTCACTGGGAGAGGAGCCCCCAGACAGCATAGAGTCCGACCGCCAGAGCCACACCTGCCCCCGCTGCCAGAACCACAGGTTTCCAGTACAACCACCTTTTCCTCCGCTGCTCGGTGTCGCTGAGCCGCTGCTTGATCTGCTGCACGCGCTCCGTCGTGCCGGCTCGACGCTCCTCCCGGTGCCTCTGCCGCAGGCTGCGAGGACGGAGAGCGCGGGTCAGAGGTCAGGGACGGCGGGGACCCACGTGCACCGCAGATGCGAAGCCGGCCATCCCGGACTCACCTCCTCGCGCTCCCTGGCTGTGGTGCATCCTTCCCCGTCGGCCACTCCTCGGGACGTCCCGCGGGCCCTGAGGGTGCCTCCTGGCTGCCATTGGTTCTGCTGACAGGACACGGCGGGGGCAGCTGGGGGGACTCTGGCTCCGGCTCCCCGTCCTCCTTGGAAAGCTCCTGCCACTGTTGCTGAGTGAAGCAAGGAGGTGGAAGCAGGGAGAACCGATTCATCAAACAGAGATCCATGGCTTCAGCCCCTCCAACCATATTGCCCCCCCCCCATGTGGACAACTGGCCTATATTCCAGCACCCTAATCTCCACGTCCAAAGGCCTTTTACCTGCCTTTTAGTGACTCACAGATACCCAATAATGACAAACTGTGACAGAAGAGGCTTATTACACAACATGGGATCCAGGACAGCTGCTTGCGCTAATCTTATTACACGTTTCACCTGCAGGTTTTAGGACAGCGAACAAAATGCATAGGGGGATATGAAGGCTGATTTTATTAAAATATTAAAGAAATTATACCCTCTACCTGTGATGATATTAGCAAAACAATGATACACACTATATTGACAGAAGTATTGGGACACTTGGCCATTTGTTCATATAGTGTACATCAAAACAAATATTCTTACACTGAATTAACTGTAGTGCATGTGGTGTTTGTGCGCCAAGCCCTATAGCCTGCTGTGGCATACGCCCCCCACCCAGCCCCAAACCCCTACCACATACCTGCACAGATACCTGCACAGACCTGTCCTCCGTGATGTACTGGGAACCCTCCTTCACAGCCATGTAGGAGAAGCGCAGCTGGTCAGGGGTCTGGATCAAGCCCATACGGTACCGCCTCATATCCAGAAGGATCTTCTGGATGTCCACTGTGGACGGGTCTTTCCTCTTCTCCATCTAGAACGGTGTCGGTACTAGTCAAGAGTCCTACTTTCAACTATTAATCATATCCATTTTATTTGTCATACTTCTCACATCTCAACAAGACAATGCAAAAAGTACCACCAAAAACGCATGTGAATGTGTTTACTTCATGCGATATTGTCCTTACAATATCGTCTCATCAACATAGATTTAAATCTGCTCACTTCTGCCACGGGTGTGGATGGGGGCAGGCTGCGGACCTCACCAGAACGAGACAGGTGTCCACCAGCGAGAACGTCCCTGAGCGGCCAATCCCGGCGCTGCAGTGCACGACGGATGGCCCATATTCCGTCTCCAGGGAGCCCGATTCCCGGACCTTGAACAGGAAGTTCAGGAAGGAGGCCGGAGACTCAGGGACCCCGAAGTCTGGCCACGTGGTGTAATGAAAATGGTAGATTTCTCTGGACTCTCCAGTCTAAACAAAATAAGACAAGGGTCACGAAAAGGTAGTGGAACGGTCAAAGCTAAACTTTTAAACTACAAAAGAATCTTCAAAGTCAGCAGCAATAGTGAATATCTATTTTGGGTACAGTCACAGATACAATCCCCACAGGCAGGCCTTCCCGGTGAACACACTCACGGCCATGTTCTGCAGCTCCAGCACTCGTATTGTGTAGTAGGACTTGACATCCTCTGAAATCAGCTTCACAGTAAAATTTGTGTCCTGAAAAGACATCTCACACTCCTGCGATGACGGCCAATACTGTGCACACTTTTCCTGTGTGGGGAAAATGCAAAAACCTGACTCCAGTGAGTATTTATTGAGGAACACACACACACACACCTCCCCCCACGGTTACTCTGGTGACACCCTTCATTTATGTGACAAACAGGCATCATTAATATTAGATAACTATTATAGGAAAAACATGAATGAAAGAAAAAGGCACATCTGTCCATAACTTTCCATAACTACTCATCCGAGTCATGGTGCGAATGGAGCCCCCGGAGGGGAGGGGGCTACACGCTGGGTGGGACACCAGGGCATCACCAGGCATGCCAACAAGCAGCAGTAGCCAATTCAGAGAGACAGATTCAAAAAAACCACCAAATCTCTGGTTCATATGAGGAAACACACAAATTCAGGAGAACAAGCAACGTGCACAGACCTAGAACCAGGGACAGGAGATGAACCCCCACCCTGGGAGGTGAGGTCACAGAACACTCTTATTAAAAAGGACTTGTAATAGCATTAATACTAGCTACAATTATCATCGCGAGTTAGATTCTTACTTATAACCCTACAACTACTGGATCTCGATTCAATAGTCTCCACGACCCAACGGTCCAACTATGCCACCGGTGTTGGGTTTTAGGTACACCAGCCCTGCCCAGTCACCCTCCATAACCCGATTCAGGAAGCAGACAGTCAGCACGTTTACATGCACGCTAAGAAAATCAAATTGTGTTAGTCCGACTAAAACCGGACTTTTAAAGTATAAAGTAACAGTAAAATTATTTTCTCACAACCGGGCTTAGACACCCTGATAATCGATTATTCCTCCATGTATGCATTCAATAGGACTGAAACTGGCGTAGGCACTCTGTGCATGCTCCTCAGTTCCACCCCCCCAGGAGGCTTTGACCCAGAAGTAACGGAAGAAGCTTGGGAGCATAGCAGAGGCCGTGTTATTGGTTCACTAAATGACCATACGGCAGTGTCGTCTGCCTTCAGATAACACCGTAGCCAAAAGGAATAGCGTGCATCTCATTTGTTTAAAAATAAAATAAAAACCCTACAGCACATACAAAACGTACAGCTCTGAAAAGCTGTCCAGTTCACTGCTCAAGTAAAGGGCGTTTTTCCACCACACCAGGTTCCACACCAGGTTCAGCCATTTTCCACTGGCGTAAAAAATGGTATTAGTGCTGAATGACATAACAATGTGAGGCAGTGCATTTTATACTGGATTTGAAAAATGGCTGTAGTATGTTATAGGGCTGGACGATGTGCAATATTAATACCAACATCGAATGTTATGCACACCCAATTTGTACATCGCTAGTCTGTTCAGCAACGAGCTGCTCTTATACTCGCTTGCCACATTTTCATCATTCGGGGCTGAATCACAGCGAGTCGACATTCGCTCCCTTAGTCACCACATCATTCTTTGTGGAAGACACACGTTAAAGTCAGCCAACTCTTCTTCCGAACAGCCATTCAAGGAATCTCAGTTTACCTCAAGCAGAAAATTAGATTGTCCATAACCAATATCAGCCTTGACCTGCTTTGTTTACCCCACCCCACTCCAAACAACTGCTTCTTGTAAAAAGATCTCTGGCAAGAGCCTTTGCCTCAGGACGGCCAGTGTCCCTCAGCCAGGAGCCCTGCTAATGTGGCAGAGCTACAAGGGGGCACAGGACGAGTCTGGCTGCACAAGCCGTCGATGCCGCCCCAGGCGGCCTGCCTTCCGGCTCTCTCCAGCACTCGCAGGTGCCTTCGCTCGCGTTTCAGCTAGAATGCAGACACACGTACCGCTTTCGCAGGATGCAGCTCTCCGGAGCAATTATTCGAAACCTCTTCCTTCCTTAGCAGAAATCAAAGCACGGGGACATGCACATTTCGCTCTGAGGACGCTTCTTGAAAAACGGGGTCAATTTCCCTTCAGGGTTTTTCTGTTAGATACACAGTGGGCTTCAACTAATATGATCCCAACCCTTCAAAATATAAATAAATACATTCAAAGAGATGAGTGTACTCACGGATCCTTTCTCCATGATTCTGTTTAGCATGATTACAGCCTTTGTCCCCTGTTCCCAGATCATTAACCAAAAATGACCACATGTGTTTCTCAAAGGTCCCTGGAAAGGAAAAAAAAAAATTAAATTAAAAACATAGCAAGCAGATTCAGCGCCATCGTGGAGCAAATACATCACCCTTCTGAAACCTGTTCATCCTTCGTTCCGGAGAAGCAAAACATCTTTCAGTGTTTTGAGGATTCCTTTCGAAACACAAGTCATTAGCGGTCGTGCGGAACACTGTGGTTTTTGTGTCCCACGCATGATCGTTGCTAGATGAAACCCAATCCACGGAGAAGAACTTTTGTGTCAGAAGTGTTATTTAATCCCTGTGCGAGTAATGTTTGATTACAGTGACAGTTCACAGAAAGAAAAAAAAAAGTTTCTTCTCTGTCTCTATGCCCACAGGAGTGATCAGTAGTTCATTTATGTGACAAGTTTGCTGGGAATCACAAAATAATCACAGAACAAAAAATTATAAATAACAACCCATATAAAGTTTATGGTTACTGGAAGCCTGGAGGTAGAATACTGGTGGACAGATGGTTTGCTGATTCTAGTCTTAAGACAGACCCTGACAAAGTAACTCAATTAAATTATAAAAAAAACACTACCACAAAACAAACGTCCAGTTGTATTAGTGCATTAAACATGCAAGTGAATTTGGCAAAACGACAAGGGCCATTTAAAAAACATTATTTTCAAAATTATTTTAAGGACCACAAATTTTGACAAGTAACTCAAAATTCACATATCATGCGGAGTTGATTCTCAGCACCTCAGTTTAGTGGATAAAAAAAGACTGAACAACAAAAAACCAGATATAAATATCTAGCCACTTCCATATCCCAGGAGGAACAGGGCACAAAACGGGGGGGGGGGGGGGGGCTCCCCTGGATGAGATGACAGTCCATCGCAAGGCACACATTCACATGCACAAATGGGCAGATTAAAGGCACCGTTTCACCTAAGCACATGTTTCTGGACTGTGGGAGGAAACTGGAGAACCTGGACGCCGCCCACATACACAAAGTGAGAACCAGCAGCAGACACACACATCCAATACCACCCACATCAAAATGAGCCAGTGTAACCTTCCAGAATAGCTGACAATGCACTTACCTGAGTTAAGATGTAGCTTCTTTGGGCTTCATCCATTACAATTAAACTTGCGTTGATATAGTCATTTTCCGAATTTTTTAGTTTAACTCGACTGTGATCGTCTAAATTAAAGGACAGGAAAATGCATAAACTATAAATTCTATATGCGAATAGCACACCAGAATCCCAAAGGCACCAAAATATATTATTTCGTCATATTTTTAACATACACCTGACTTGAGTGAAATATATAGTTTGGGCAATAAAAAACAATAAATCATAAAGCTGCATCTGAGAAAAAATGTAATTTAAAAACAAAGTATTAAATGGGATTACAGTAAACAATACCTGGACGAATACTTGCATTTAATGACAAGAGGCAGATTTTTTGTTACTCACATGGACTGACGTCTCTGTATCTATTCAGATTACGATTCTCTGGGTATTTCGCCACTCTGTACGAACATTCATGTGACTGGTTACGGATTTCCTAAGCACAACACACACATCAAAATCAGTTCGTGTAATACACTCATAACAAAACGAGCTGCACATATTTTTGGGGGGTATTCCAGTATTTATTCCCCCCCCCAGGTCCTGCATTTTTATTCTTTGCTCTCTGGGTTCAGCTGAATTACCCAGATTCTTGCATTTGCAGCTGATGAATTTCTTTACAGGCATTGAAACTAAATATAATTCATTAATCTTTTTTTTTTTTTTAAATAACAGCACAAGCTCATATTTTTATAGAAACAAAGGCATGCTATACTGCTAGTATTAATATCATTATTACCATTTTGCCAATATCTCAGTGCTATATTATCTTTATTAACGATAATATTATAAGCACAAACATAGTTCAATATTGTTTGCATTCGTCTAACTTAAAACAGCCCAAAACAATTAATGGCCTTTCTGCGACAGGCGTCCCACGTACCGCGGTGTTCAGTTCGCATTACTATCTGAAACACACGTCTGGAAGGTACCTTCAGAACTACAGTGTAACACGGTCACTTGTTTATATTACAGTTACATAAATGATTGCTTTAGGGAAAATACTGCTCATACATGACCAGATTATTTGACAAGAGTGTTTACATAACTGACATTTATATAAAATACTGCTGAAAGTTGGCTTTCCCCGTCTTGTAATGTTTAGCTTTACTGAACTAAGCATAAGATCATTATCTCACAGCTAAATGAAAATACTTAAGGGTCTCCCAGCACCCCCGGGCTCCCCTGAGCGTCACACCGATTTCACGCCGAATGCGCGTTCCTGAGTCTCCCCAAGCGTTACACCGATCCCGCACCGCGTGCACGCTTCCCCTGCGCGTTACATCTCCTCCACGCCAGATGCGTAACTCAACTGATAAAACGAACCGGTCAAATACAGACGGACGCGATTTTTAAAAAAACAAACCTAGCGACTCAAACCGTACAGCTGATGTCGTCGCGTATCATTTTATTTCGTAGCATTTAAATTTCATTTCTCATGTATTTGGCGTAAAATCGGTGTTTACACGGAAAACCTGCGGCCCTTGAACTTCCTATGAAAGTGGAGACATTCCGACGTTTCTACCTACAGCACGATTTGGTCCGGACGAGCATAGCCGAAAGCCGGTGAACTTACGATGTATAGGTTGTGCCATCGCTCCGCCGAATCGGCGTCGTTCAACTCACGGTCCATCTTGCTCTCGGGCTAGCCCTGTTTCAGTTGGGTATTACTGAAGAAAGGCTCCGGTCACAGGCCAGCTCGCCGCCTATACCCTGGCTCGGCCATTCGCCGGAACACCGCGAAGCGAACTGCGCGTCCGTGTCGCTGCTGGGCGCATGTGGCGCCCTTCGGCGCATGCGCGGTACGAGCGCCGGCCGCGCTCGCCGCCTCTGATCCTGTTTCTCCAGCCGGCTTTCATGGGCTTTTGACGCTGCTAATAGCAGCCGATTCTTCCTGACCCGCTACGGTTCTTAGTCATATTCCGCGAACAACCACAAGCCCGGCCGCCTATCAAATAGAAAACGAGCCGTCTTTCGTTTCGTAAGGAATTCCCGTAGGTGACGGTAGTGTTTCGTTATGTGTGGTTGCGTTTCAGATAACATTTGGCTTCATCCTGTGTCGTTTTAGGGCTCCTCTTTGCATGAATGCTTTTAAAAGCATTAATAATTATAATAGGGATACCTCAGTGCGGTCTATTTGTCATGCAAGTTGATATAATGGGCATAGGTACCGGAATGTGATGTTACCCCCCTAGCCATTAATGACGCTTACCCCGTGCAGAAATAAGTGCAAGGATCGTGAAAATGTACAGATGAGTTTGTCAAAGTCGCCCTTTGTGAACAGAGGTTTATAGGACATGTTTGGTAGCCGAACAACTGTAGTGGAGCACAAAGACCACTTCTGTGATGTATCGTACGACTTGAAAAGTCAGTTATTTCATTATAGTTGTGTATGACATTACCTTACTAGTATTGCTAATCACGGAACTTGTGAATGAAAAAATATAATGCATCATCCATGTACAGTAATTACCCCGTGACCTCCGACTCATTTCTGATTAAATTGCATAAACCACGTTCCCCTGATTAGTGATCTAATGTGGGTGTGTTTGGAAAAAGTTAATTACTTAAACTCCTTAAAGACCTTCCTGCCAAGTCAGCCCAACACTGACACTAAAGTTGTCATGCTAATCTTCTCTAATGTCCTAATTGGAGTGGACTTGTAGTGTGAATCACCAGCGGAACCATGTGGCATGCCTTGCACGATATTGGTCAGTGTGGCAGAATGCTTGTGGCCAGGAGCTCGGATAGGTGTTGGTCTTTTCCGCTACTTACCAGACTGCTGCTAGGTAGCGTAAATTGTGCCACCCCTCACAGTATTGTGACAGTAGCAGTACCAGGTCCGTTTGTGATTAGCTGCTGTTGAGTGATTCTAGCCAGTCCCTGCGACCCTATTGGCCTGACGGTTCTGATCCTCAATGCATGTGTACATATCTCTAACTTACTGTTTCCCTCCTCAATTTGTTCCTGCGGGTTGAAAATCTGCAGGAGAATGATGGCCTTGGTTAAGTCAAATCCTCAGGTGAGGCCGTCCCTAAGTACATTGGTTGTGTGTGGCTCAGTAAGTTAGCAGACTCTGCCTTTGAGTAACAAGTTGTCAGTTCAAGTTCCAGGGTTGGCGCAGTGATTTTACAGTTGGGCCCTTGAGCCAGGCTTTTAAAACGTATGTTGTTTTTGATAAAGGTGCCTGTTAAATTCATAAACAAAAAAGGATGACTGCATGCTTCGCTGATGGCAAGGAGTGTGTGTACGAGGTGCTGGATGCAATTAAGCTAGCCAATGGTTCCTGTATTAGCTCCAGCCACTTCTGAAAACCCGTCCAGGTAGACTGATGGTTTTATTTTGACCTATAGCTTTTCGTTTTGGGTTTTTCCCCCCTTTTGTGTTTCTCTTGAATATTGGAGAGGATGGGGCTGTGAGGTTGAATGGCTATGGATTATATAACACTCTGCTGAAGTCACCAGTGGGGATCTTCAGCCTTGTGTGGGAATCTGTTTCGATAAGCACCACTTACTACACGGCAGGTCATGTGTGCTGAAGTTCCGGGAATCCTGCTGTGTTGGCAGGGATTCATTAAATTTCCTGCCCTTTCTCGGAATTGATCTAATCATTTAATCATTTCTTTTTAACCCTATTTCGTGTAAAGCACTGAGTTTATCTAATAAAATTGAATAATTTGGCCATGATTGGCATTTTGCAGTACAGTAAGATCTCTGGTTAATGTTCAGAATCCATTCCTAGAACTTCTGAAGGTTCTAAACGTCAAAACTAAATTTGCAAAAAAAAAAAAACAGAAATTCAATATTGAACTTTTATTACTTTTATTCAGCAGTACTGTTTTATTGTATTAATTTGTATAACGTTATACAGTCATCTGTTAACTTGCATCCTATAGAGTAATGTTTGATCGTATTTACTGTACGTCCCATGAGAGCCTTAATAAAATGTATCGACAGGCGTCCGAAGCAGACGTGGTGGCCGTTAGCTGATGTATTTTACCACGTGTGGCATACGGCAAGAACCTAAACAAACCAACTGCACTGCCACTATAGAGCTTTAGTACATGTGTGTGATATTATATCTTATACAGTATATCTGATGTCACCCCTATAATGATCAAGAAACGTCCAGACTGACATGCATGCTCTCTTCCGGGACGCAAGTCGGACCTAAGTCGATGAATACCTGCATATGTATTTATAATTTAAGTTTTAGATGAAGGATCAAGACTGTGGCTCCTCTGCATTGTTTTGCACGTTTGACATTGCAGTCTTCTTTTGTACTCACATAGGATCTCTTAATATCAGGGTATTATTTCCATAACACCTATCCTGACTTTAGAGCATCATTTTCTATGAGATGGGCTTTAATTTGCATAATTCTTGTGATAATCTTGCAGAGGAAGCCTGTATTAATTTCATTCTCCAGCCTCAAGCAGCTACCCTAACTTAACATTCACCTGCCACTAACCAGCTTAACACTTGCAGTTTTACATTCAGGGAAATGCTTTTTCTTTACATCTGTACCTTTCTTCCAGGTCTTTGGGTTCCTCTGGAGCTCAGACCTTGCGATCCAGGTGCATGACTGCTGCCGACTGCTGTTTGACAGGAGGGAGAGAAACTTCCCTAGTCCTCTGAAGCTGGAGGATGCTGGTCGCACCCGTGTTTGACATCCGAAGCTCCCATATGTAGTGGCTGGGCAGGGCCGTGACGTCACCCTCTAGGAGCTCAGGGGGCCAGTTGGTGTCATGACACGGGAGATAACTGGGGCTCCTTCTTCCAGACAAAAGGGAAAAATCTCATGTCTACCAACCCTACTACCTACACACTGTTGGCCTGGACAGCCACAAATGAGTCAGTCAGATTTCATAGGGTGGGAGTGTTGTCTTTCTTAGGTTAAATGACCTCCACCCCCCCAATTTGACTTTTGTAGAAAACAAGGATTTTCTTCGACTGAATGTTTGTCCAGATGTTTAGATAGCTCTGTTCCTGTTTGTTCCCACCGAGATGCTTGCCAGTGATGGAGTGGGGGAGTATCTTTATGTTACCACCCTGAGTTTAAGTCCTCAGAGTCAGGTGGTCTCTGCTGGGTTCACATTATCCTGGGATGAGTCAGACTAGTTCTCCTTTCTGGTAGCTTCTCGTTTGCGGAACACAAAGGCGTTTCAGAACTATCAAAATGCCCGTTCTATTCACCAAATAACCACAAGGAGAGCTGGTGGCGCACAGCCGATCTGAGCGGGGACGCCCGCAAAATGGGTGTGTTATTCACCTGGGATGGGGGACCCTGGCAGGGTCGTGGGGGTCTGGAGCCTATTCTTGAAGCTGCGGGTTCAAGGCAGTAGTAGGGATGGGGCATCACGCCGTCACACATCATTCATGCCTACGGACAGTTTGGTAGGTCCAGTTCACCTTAGCATGTTTTTGGACTGCGGGGGGTAACCGGAGAACCCAAAGGAAACCCACACATACAAATTCCATGCACATTGAGCCGGGGCAGAGACTCCAATCCCACGGAGGTGTGAGACAACAACGCCAACCACTGTGGCATGGCGCCACCATTTGGTCACAGACATACTCTACTGAAAATAAATGCATAATGATGTCCTCCATGTATTTGTACAAACGGCTGTTGTTTCTGCGAGTACTTAAGTGCCCTGAGACTGTGTGTGAAAACAAGAGCTCTGTGCCTTGGAAGTGTGTGGGCCCCTGGCAGGCTTGTACATTCCTGGAAATGGACTCTCCAGCCGTCATGGGTGGTCGGGATTGCACGGAATGAACTCCCTCCTCCACCGAACAGGTTAGATCTGAAGGTGCCGGAGTGCATTGTTTTCTAATAGCTACTCATAGTCATTCAAATGGTGTATATGAAACACTGTATAGAGCTAGAGTCAGATGTCCTTTTCCAGTAGCCTGTGAGCACTATTGGTAAAAAGTGAATCATGTTTGTTTGTTTCAGGCCACTGCCCAGAACCCTCCTTATGACAGTTCCGTATGACTCCTCTTGTGTTTCCAGGAGGCATTTCGCGGATTAGTGGTAACAGTCCTGTCAACCTTCAGGGCTGATCTTCTGATGTCTCGGGTCTTTCAGAGTAGTAAACTGAAAATATTCACTGGATACCTTGGATCTTTGGTTTAAATGCTGAAATCCTGGTTTTATAATTTCTGGTTCCTTTGTGCTCTGCTGAAGAAAGACTGTATCATCTTTTCTCCTGATTGTGGTGTCAGTAGGTGGTGTTTTGAACTTGTATTAAATTTGATTTGAAATTATAATGTAGGATAATGAACCAGACTCAGTTTTGATGGCACATTTGCATTTAGAAAATGGGGACAATAAAGCAATTGGATTGTCAGTTTGCTACTATTTGGACTTAGTGTTTAATATAGAGAAGTAAGGGGCTGATTGCAGTGCATTGCCACACCCACCACACGACAAACCACCTCAGGGATGAGAACCTGAGTGCAGCCATGAGGTGGGTGGTACTTCAGCACCACACTAGTCTGAATGGACCAGTGAGTTTTTCCCAGTGGCTGGAGAGTCAATCCTGCCACCAACCCCCAAATTTCCCTGTAAGTTGGAGGACCTTATAGGGCTGGATGTAGATTAACGTCATACCCAGGATGAAGCAATTGCAGGTTAAGAGCTCTATGGAGTAGAACCACTCCAGGCATTCACAAGATTTGAACCAGCAACTTTCACTGGTCCCTAGCC